AATACGTACAAATAAATTTATCACTCACGAGTTTGCTCGCTCGGCCTCCACAGTTGTTCTATTCTTCGGAGTAAAAACAATTCATTGGTCGAATTTTCAATCAACATCGCTTGTCAGGAGAAAAAAGGAACGATACCTCGATTTACGAAGATAAAAAAGTGCAAAGAACTTAAAAAATCGCTTAAAACAGTGGATATATACCCGCCGAAGCTTGTAGATTGCAGGACGACGTGATTCTTCCTTGTTTGGTGAAATTTGTTGGCCGCGCTTGCGCAGTGCAATGTATCTCACTTCCCGTCGTCGTCGTGGTTCTTAAGTTCCCTATTGGCGGCTGTCCAGTCAATCTGTCGATGTCAGTTTTGCTTGATAAGTCCGTCAATAAACCGTTTTTACGGTGCCGGTAACTATTGAATACGTCTGAGTGCTGGAGTCGGCGTTACTGTAAGTGTTTCGTCTAAAAACCATGAAAAAATAAGTAGCCAGTCTCGTCTTGTAGGCTGTCAGAAAAGGGGGTAGGGTTAAGGTTATTTTCGTGACGCCGTAATCGACCATTTTTGGTGTCCGTGAATGGTGATGTACTTAAAAACTGTTTTGTGAATCGTGATTGACGGCCACTCAAACCTGGTCATGAACTGCCAACATCGTACATTCAAGATCAATCAAAGAAAAGTAATTGTCACAGATGTAATTTAGCAAACGACCTCAACTGATCTTCATCTTGGAGCATCCGGTGGCTTAATTTAACTTCACTTTCGAGTCTTTTGATGTAACTTAACACTTAACGCTCAGACCCAGCTGGCTCTCCTAGGGAATTGAAAGCCGCGCAGTGTTTTGCATAAGGCTCGTAAAGCTCTTGCTAAAATATAATTGAAGCACTCTGTTTTACAAAATGGGACTAACGCAACGTTTTTGACATTTAGTACAACCTCTATTTTTGAGAAGCGTGAAAACGTAAAAATTTGTTTCGTGACTCGTGAAACGCAAAATTGTGCTCCAAAATACGTGCCGACAAATTACAAAAGTTGCAAAATAGAGCAGCACGGATTATTATTCGGGCTGATTACTCTATCAGATCATCACTATTAAATTCCTTATGTGGTATAACTTACAAGAAAGAGGAAAAAGGTACTTGTTAATTATGACGTTGAAAGTATTCAATAACTAGAAATAGTTGACACTACAGCTGCCCCAGCTCTGTATATTGTCGGTCAATAGCATTCTTGCACGTTGTTTAGCTCTATGAAATATACCGATTCATGAGGAAAATTTTCACACATATTCCATACAATAGGTCAGATAAATACAGGAAACACAAGGTTCCATACACAGTTTCAGATCCATTTACACAGCTTTGATCAAAACATCTCAGTTTCGAGAATAGTTTATTCTAAACCATAAGAAAAGATTTAATGAGAAGTTGAATTTTTCGCTGTTTCTCTTTCACTTTTTACATTCAGTTCATTTTCTTTGCCGGAAAGGAAGCCTTAGAAATTAAAAGGACGTTTGATGAATTCACACTCGCGCATTCTAGTCTTCTGTGAGCAGGGAATAAGTCAGCACAGAATTTGATTGTCGGCGAATTTTTGTAATCGTCCATCGTTTTGCTAGTGAGAAGCTAGCCGTTGTTCACTCGTCTTGCTTGTCTGGGGCTGAGTCAGTGTCTGCCAAGGTTTCAAATGAAAGATTTGTGAACTCGTCTCTGGTAAACCCTCCAAGTGTTTTTATATACACAGTTATACGCACCTTATAACTTCTTCTGCGCTTAACGAGTGTCGTTAAAATTTTGGTCCATAACTTTCACTGAAGCAACTGCTCCACAGAATGTCACTGATAACACGTGACGCAAAAGAGTGTCGAAGTATGACTGTACAATAAATGTCACAAAATCTACCTAAGCGGTCCCTTGCGGATGTTCTGTCTTTACGTCATCCTAACCATTTCGTACTTGCGGGCACAAACAATAGAAACGTCATCATTACCTACCGATTCCTCGCGGCCCCTGTTCAAGCAAATCGAGATTTGTTCTATATTGACTGTATGACTGTATATTTCAACAAGTACTTTCCTAAATATACGCGCGAGTTACTAGAATGCCTCCTCGGGATTTCGCCTTCTGGGCGAAATCCCCGCGGGGGCAATAATAATTGTCCGACGTACCTTCGGGAGCGGTTTCATAGAAACTATGATCTCCAATTGCCGCTACCTAAAACTAAGCGCGTATTTTCTTATCGGGGTGCAATGGCTTGGAACTAACTATCAAGTCAAACACGTGGGATAGAAGATCTTACTAGCTTTAAACTGGTGATATCGTAAGATACAACTTTTTACCTTTTTATTTACGACTTATTTCTTCTTATTTTATTGTATCTGAATAAATCCTGCTCACCTAAAACTAGATAGTTACGTTTATAAGAGTCGATAGGAACAGATATAAAATTGCAAATCGTAGTGCTAAATTATTGTTAGTTAATCACTAGTTTTAATATTTATAGCTGGTAATCGTTACACGGCATGTCTGAAAACCAGCTTGCTGAGCCATTTACCGAGTTGAAATTTATAATAAAGTTGATTGAAAGTTGTTTTTCGTGGACTCGTGATGACTCGTGGTCTGTTTTTGTCACGAGTAACCAAGCAGTCTAGAAAAGGTATTTTACCATTTTCCTAGATCTTCTTGGTAAACTGCATGTCAGTTTCCCATCTGTCTGTTAGAGTTTTCGTGAAAATCGTCGATCTCACTTGTCAGTGCACAGTGGTAAATGTTTTCGCGTGTAGAACTAGCTCAGTAAGGCTTGTTCCTGAGTTGTGTAGGAGCTGCTCCGAAGGTCTCTCCTAATTGGTACCAGGAAACTATGACATTTCATTCTTCCAATTGTTTTAGTATTGTTTGGGGTTAGGGAAAGGCACCATAACAATT